CTTGGCTCTATGATAGGAGGAGCAGGCCAAGCAGGGTAGACGGTGAGCAGAATTGCACCTTGTGTACAGAAGGGATTCCGGAAACAATGAAACATTGCCTCATCTCCTGCTCAGTGGCGAAGCAGATATGGAAAGTGGCACACACTCTCTGGGACAGGGTTACGGATATCCCCTTCCCTGAGGAGGAGGGGCAGCTACTGATTGGTACACAGGTACCCAGAGAATGGAACACAACTCACAGGGGTATCTTCGAGTTGCTGAGAACCTACACGCTTTGGACAGTATGGACAAGAAGATGCCAAATGGTGGTGGGTAATGCAGGGATGTTTACAAATGAAGCCAAGGAAATCCTGTATCACTTACTGGAGACGGATATCAGGGCCCAGTGGCAGAGGGTTAGAAAGCAAGCGGAAAAACAGCAGGAAACAAACCCGGAAAAGGCCAAGGAAATAATCACCATATTTCAGAATAGGGTCCTTGCTTCGGGCCGAGTAGCGACTCTGGAGGGGCAGACACACCGTTTCCAATGGTTCAGAGAGAATCAGTACGAAACTTCGCAGGACGCGGCGGGGCAGGAACTAGCGCTAGTCCAACCCTAAAGACAAGCCTCTTAAGAGAGGGGGAGGAGAGAGGCACAGACCCAGGGCAGAAATGGTAAGGGCCATCAAGAACAACGGGCAAGGCTTAGGGTTTAGGGTTTAGTGGACCATCAGGGAAGGGATCCAAGAGCAAAGATTCTCGAGGGAGATAGAAACTCGTGCGGAAGGGGAAGGGGCCCACAATGGGAGGATAGCGGAAAGGGACAAAATGTCGGTAATCGAAGAAATAGGACATCACTTGTAGAGGATTATGGGAGGAAGGGTGGTCACTTATGCTACCTAATGGAGGGGTAGAGCTTAGGGTTTAGGGTTCAACAGATCACAAAGACGGGGGAATATGTCACACCAAGGAGAGCACTGCAAGCAAGGATGGGAAGGGGGGGGGGACTGCATAGGCATCCAGCAACACGGGAAGATCTCTTTCTAGGCACAACAGTTACATCCGGCAGATCGGCTAATGCGGGTCTGAGAGGGAAGAGAGTATCCTGGCAAGCTGACAGTCAATCCTCCACCCAATGTGGAGCAATCAATGCTGTTCAGGGATCCTCCGGCCGGACGGGAGGAAGCGTGAGTTGTTTTAGCAGAGTTGTATCATATTTTGACTTGCCGGTGGAATAGGAACCGGACTGATGCTCCCCAGAATGGAAGGAGCCAGGACCATAAGGCCCTGTTTCTTTTGAAAAAATATATATATATATATATATATATTTTTTGGATAATTAGGTTGGGCTATAGATGGCATTGTAGATTAGGGCCACTGACGATTCTGGACCAACTCTTGATTTTCAATTTTTCACCTATAATAGAGGTCCACGGGACAGCCCCTAACTCTTAAAAAAAAAAAAAAAAAAAAAAAAAAAAGTTTTATGTCAGATCTGACCTGCAATTTGCTCAGTTCCTCCACAAACTCTATGGGCAGCAGATCTGAGCGAGACGACGACAGTTGTCCCAGCTTGATGAAAGTGGGGCCCAGCTGCAGAATTGTTTCCCTCACCCACGAAGCCAAAGAGCGCCTTCTTTGCCCCTGCAGGCAACCACCACATCAAATGAAATCAAAGCCAATCCACCACAGACTAAATGAACTCATGGCCAAAGTTGTTGGTTTAATATTTTTAGGCTAGCGTGACCCAAAATAAAAAAGACCAATGCTTAAACCGCCAGTACCTTTCTCATACATCGGCCGTGGGCCCCTGCGCGCCAAGCTTTGCCTATGCACCTGGCCGCTGCCGCCAGCCTGCTACGGCCTCCGTGTTAACTGCCGCTCTATAGTTTTCGCAGAGCGGAAAGGTACTGGCGGTTCAGACCACCACTTCCTTCTCTGTATGGTGGTCAAGGATGGGGTGGGGCCTCCGGTGGGGGTCCAGCTAACCGAAAGGGCCAAAGGGCTGGGGGCAATATGCATCCCCTCTGATGGCTGGAGGGAGACAACAAAGCTATGTTCGCAGGGGTCCCCTGTATAAGCCTTAGGAGTAGTGGTAGTTAGGTAGTGAAGGTGAATTGAAACAATTTGAAAGATGATGAAAGATTGAGAGAAAAATATAGCGTAGTTGAAAAATAATAATAATAATAATAATCTTCTCTGTATCGTCCTGCGGGTCAGGTTCAAAACTAACCAACGTGCGGCTCGTTTCCGCAGCCAAAGCAGGCCAGGAGGCGTACTCTGTTTCTGAATGTTAAACCACCAGTACATGACCCCAGGCAACTGGAGAACCTTTTTTTTTTTTTTTTTTTTTTTTGGTTGTTCCGGTCTATTGGAGCAGCACCTGCTGGAAAACAGGTCCTGCGTCCCATAGTACAATCAAAATTTGAACTTTGCTGTGTAAGCCTGCCAGCATTGGAGAACCTGTTTTGAGCCTCTCCAAAAATTTAGGAGGCCGAGCGCCGTAGATAACATGGTTGGCTCCAGGTGGCCTCGGAAAGGGGCCCTCGGCCGATAGCTGGCATGTACTGGTGCTTTAAAGCCAATATAAGGCAAGATGCGGTACAGGTGAAATCTTTTCTAGCATAGAGAAAACTTCACTAAACTCCCTGCCGTGCCCATTTGGGACAAGGAGCAGTTTAGAGAAGTAAGTTCATTGAATTTGACTTCTCTTTTGTTCACAATTCAAAGATTCCTTATCAATCCTTGAAAAAGTCTCTCTCACACACAGGCCCATATTCTGCAGCAGAGAATCAGTACAGCCAAGGTGTTGTAGAGGCCAGTCACTGAGTGCACAGTGATCACTTGGAGCTGTGAGCCAAGGGTGTCCAGGTAAGAAGTAGTTCCTAAACCCACCCAGACAACTCTTTTTTTTTTTTTTTTGTCCATTTTTTTTTCCGCTGGATTTCCATCCAGGCAAAACGGGTCGCATGCAAGGTCCTTTTTGCCTGGATGGATATCCAGCGAAATGGCACCCTGGTACTACTTCCCTCTGCATGCAAGCCCCATATTTGACCTCTTAGCCAGAAAACGTACTGGTTGTTTAAACCACCAGTACATGGCCCCAGGCAATTGCAGAACCTGTTTGAGCCTCTCTGGAAATTTAGGAGGCCAAGCGCCGCAGATAAAATGAATTGGCTGTGGGCGGCAGGGTCCCGCGGCCGATAGCTGGCATGTACCACCAGTTCGCAGCCTGTTAGGGGTGTGTTTTTTACCCCTGAGTCAATTTCGTCTTCTTTCGTTACACCAGTCGTCCATTCTGGTCCAAAGGGTAGTTGGAAGGGTGGTGAATTCGCTGGGGGGGCAATTCTTTGGGAACGGGCAGTTTGTGACAATTTGATAAGCGCGGCTTTCTGCACGACTGCACCTTGGGGGTGGGGGTGGGCGGAGGGGCTTGATCAAATTGCACAGGTGCCCCCATTCCTTTTTCTTTCCTCTCTGTTTTGCGAGAACTTGGTCCCATGGCAGTTGGTGTTCAGGACGCGCCTTAGCGAGCACAGGAATAACGGTTGACGTGGCTTTTTCTTTTTCTTTTGGGAATTTGGGCAGGGAACTTCGGCGCGGTCATCGCGCGGAGAAATCTTTTTGAATTTTTGAACGCTTTGGAAAGAATGCGGGAGACCGTGGGCGCTTGGAGGACTCTAATTAGACTAGGATTTTAGGGACAATGTATTTCTTGTTCATAACTGCACGGTGCTCCTAACCCGCGCGCGTTTTGCTGCGCTCTGTCTTGCATTGTACTCCCGCTGCGCCTAAATTCTAATCTCAACTGTAATTTATTCTTGTTCCTTCCTCGGCGAGTGCGGGTGTAACTATAATCTTCTCTTTCTTGGCTTCTCTTCACATCGAAACATGCGGCCTCTTCCCCTTCGTCTCATTGGCCAAAGCAGTGCATGATTGGATCAATGTGTGGAGAGTGGCTACGTCCCCCCCGCCACGGGCCAGGCATGCCAACCGTAGGCACCTCCTTCTTTCCTCTCTCCCCCTGCCTTCACATTATCTCGACTATCTCGTGCAAATGCTGATTGTTATAAATTTCGCAAGTGCAACTAAATCGCTCTCTAATCAAACTTGTGAAGGTTAGTGCGGTTAAGAGGATCGGCTAACGAGTAGGACTCGTAGGAGCAAACGAAGAGGTGGCTTCAGAGTTGGGGGATCTGACGAGCTGGTAGCGAGCGTGTGGGGTTGACATGCAGCCATGACGGACTGTGGAGCACGGACGGACCCGGCGTGCGTACTCAAACTAAGAGCAGTGACAGCTCTGAGTTGCTGGTAGTTGCGAGGTGACGGACCGCCTGCATCGGAACAAGGAGGAGGATTGTGAAGTAGTGAGAGAGCGTGGGGTGTTGGGGTGTGTGGGGATTTCTCTCCTCGCCCTCTCATAATTTTCGGTTTTGGTTTTCGTCGTTCCTGTTTTTGTAATTCGGACTGATACCTGATTGTGTAAATTATTTTCTTTCTTCAGAGTACCTCTCATATCTCTTTCCTTTATGAACGATGTTGGGTATGATGATTGTGGCTTCATCGTTTCAATTTTGTATTCACACTTCGTGGCTATGATTGGAGAGTATGGATGCATGTCTAGCAGTATTTCTCTAGAGTCGATGGGAAATAATGAAGTTGGTCGTCTTAGGCCGTCTGGTAAACGGATCTTATGCGAGCTCGCGTATGTGCTACGACCCGCCAACAATACGCCCGTTGCGTACACACACACTCACATAATTCACCCCCGTCTGGCCTGTAAGTACCATTCTGAATGGATAGGAACGGCGGCATCAGCGCGAACCTTGAGAGTGGAATTTGGTGTCTCTTTTCGATCGCGACTACCCCTATCGCCCGATGGGCTTGTGCCGAAGCTAAACGACAAAAGGATCGCCTAGGGACCTGTCCCAGGTCCCCGCCCAGCCATCCTGAGCCACAAACTGAGAAAGCCCCTTCTTCATCCGAGCATCTTTGCATTTTCGTCCTTAGAACCCTTACACCGGACATCCCAGTTCTGACCTGGGACTCCACCCCATTTTCCTAAAATCCTTGGCACACCCCCTTTTCGCAACTTCCAAGCCCTCTCCCACTCCGATCAAGAAGTCTCGCTAGGCGTGAGGTTTGGGCGTCACAAGTTGTTGCTTGCAGAAGACCGGTAGCTGCCCGTAGGAGGCCGAGGAGGCTGCGGTCCTTGAGTTGAACATTTCAAAGTCAAAACGTCGTGGGTCAACTTCTCTCAAATAGAAGGGCACGCGGAATAGACAACGTACGTGTTGTATTCCAAAGTCAACGCGTACCTGTTGTATTCGACTTCGGAAAAGAAAAAGTCTTGTATTCGAATAAAACAGTACCTTTTCTTTTTTTTTCGAGGTTAGGGTCTGCACTCCCACTATTGACATGCTGCTTGCTGCAACTCTCTCTCTCTCTCTCTCTCTCTCTCTCTCTCTCTCTCTCTCTCTCTCTCTATCTATCTATCTATCTATCTATCTATCTATCTACCTATCTATCTATCTATCTATCTCTATCTCTATCTCTCTCTCTCTCTCACACACACACACACACACACACACACATAACACTTAAAATTAAAAAGAAAAGTTTAAAAAAATAAATAAATAATAATAATAATAATAGTGAATAATAATAATAAAAATAGTAACAAAATTATAATTAATCCTAATAATAAAAATAATAAAATAATAAAAAATGATAAAAAAAATAAATAATTAAATAATTAAAAAAATAACAGTAACAATAGATAGATATGTATAATTATCACTAAACATACTAATAGACAAATTTATACTAGCCTTAAAGAATTAATAATAATATAAAAATAATTAAAAATAAAAAAAGAGAAGCCTTAATAGTAATAAAAAAAAATCCCTATAAATCAATACTTAACCTTTTTAAAAAAAATTATAATAAAATTAATAAAACCCTCTCAAAAAGAATAGTAAAATAAAAAATAAAAATAAAAAGCATGTTGTAGTTAATAAACAAACTACAACTTAGCGGAACACACACAAGAACAAACAATAAACGACAATATAGAGAAATGTGACATCCCACATACGACAAACAGTCGAAACGCCACTACCACCCCATGACAAAACCACTGTGACAATACGACCAACACATCACAAAGACCTCCATAGCCAGACCACGATACAACAGTACAGACAAAACAAAACAGAAACGCGGACCCTGCGAAAGAACGCAATACGCACTACATTCCTCGGCCACGACTGAACACACCTCCCTGTACAACGTGAACCCCTGACACAAAGCCACTACGCTACCTAGAACCGTAATCCCGTATGCCCACACCCAAGAACCCCCTCTGCTTCCCCCTGCCCCCTCCCTCCTGACCCTCGCCCTCTCCATGACGCGTTGCATACCAAACTACAGCTCTCACGACCCCACCGCCATTGCAAGCTTCCCCTGCGCCCTTTTCCCTGGCCTATCTGCCTATGTTTACTATGTATATCCTATCACGCCCTCACACTATACTCCTCTGGCGCTCACCCATCTGCTACGGTGCACGCGAACACCTTTGGATCAATACGCATCTCTGCTAATACTGTGCGCTTCTCGCACAAGCACGCAACCAGGCAAGTTTA